TTTGGTTTTTCGAGACAGGGTTTCTCTGTGGCTTTTGGAGCCTGTCCTGGAACTAGCTCTGTAGACCAGGCTGGCCTCGAACTCACAGAGATCCACCTGCCTCTGCCTCCCGAGTGCTGGGATTAAAGGCATGCGCCACCACCGCCCGGCTGCATCATGGCTCTTTAGAGACAGCCTGTCTGCCTCAGAGCTAGCACTGAGTTTTGGCTGTGACGTGGCATCCACCTAATCAAGTGTATTCAAATGTGGCTACTGGAATGATAGCTAGCACCTATGTGCAGAGACAAAGACATTGTCACGAGACCGAGGAAGAGGGCAGAAGTCCATTGACAGCCAGAGATGGCATAAGATGCGTGTGAAGCCAATGAGGAATGGTGATGTCGTCCTCTACCAATGGTCGTCTTCCTGAGTTTGGAGAATGGGAGTTCAGTCCTGCTCCTCAGGCCTCCCCCATGCCACCACGTGGGGCTAAGTGACTTCAGGTAAGTCATGAGCCCTGCACTCCTGAGCGTCTTGCCTGTCAGATGGCAGTGATGCCACCTACTTCCACCCACGTCTTAGGGTGTGCAAGGATAAAAGGTGATGGCAGCTTTGATGACTTTTTGTACATGAAACTTCCGTGATTCATCTTGCTTGCATTTTCAGAAAGAGCAGTGCCATCCCTCAGTAGGGGATGCACCTTGCTCCAAACTGAGATACAATTACATTGGGGTACTAACACCACTAATTTTTAAAACTTCTCTTTGATTTAGCATTCCTAGAATGATGAATTATCAGAGCTACAAACAATATAACTATATCCACTTCTCTCAGTTCAAAGGCCACACTGAGCCCCTGGAGACCTGGGAGTTACACTGACCTCCAGGCTTCCGCATAATCGTGCATATGGGAAGGCACAAGTCTCAATTTCTAATATGGCATGTCCCAGACACTCCTCATGCTCTGTGTCTTAGATGGATTCTGACGGAATTCCATGAATGACACACTTCTGTTGAGTACCTGAGGACGCGGTCTGAGGCCTGGTTGGACTTGGACACGTCACAGCTCTGGTGTTTCTCTTGGGCCTTTGCCAGTTTTTCTGCAGCAGCAATAGGGCATCCAGAGAGGCTACAGTGATAGAAAGATTTAATTTAATGGTCAGAAATGGCTTGTCACACACTGATACACCCACCACATTTGTCTCTCAGCCAGCCAAGAAGACCCTGAGGTAGATGGAACTCAGGGAGTTTCCCAGCCTGCTTGGTACTCTGCATTCCTGGGCTCTGGCACACAGCTCTGATGGCAATAGCAGGCCTCTCCAGTGAGCATGCCAGATTCCCAGAAGCAAATGCACAACAAGCTGGTTAAAATTCCAGGCAAAGATTCTGGAGTATCGGCCATTTCTGGAGGATGGGCAGTGGCAGCTACAGTTTTTGACAAACCCGAGAGTGGCAGTTACATGGCTGTACCAGAAGATGGCGTTCTGAACTGATCACACAGAGACATCTACCTGCAAGGTGTCAGGGATTCTGACAACGTAGGAAGGGAAGGAAAGAGAAAGGGAGGTGTAATAGGAACAACCCAGGACTGCATGTGCGTAGTTTAGTAACTAGTTCAGGTGGTCAGTAGGGCAGAGGAAGCGGTGAGGCTTCTTTGTTTGACCTGCTCCTCAGGAAAGTATGGTATCTGCATGCTGCCTCCATGTGTTCTAGATGTGTGTGGCTATCCGTCCATGTGCACATCTGCATTGAAGCCAGAAGGTGGCACTGACACTGGGGGCTCATTGCACAGGACTGTGTGGGGATCTCCTGCATAACTGTCAGCTCCTCCAGACTTAGTACCAGAGACCGTCTACCAGGCATAGAGCTGTGATCTGTTTTATTATAAACTTAATACCAGTAACCAAGATGCTTGTTGTGACTAACCAGTCAGACAAGAATTAAGAGAAATTTTACAGCTTCATATGTTTAGGAAGAAACCTAAGCCATGGAACAAGCCTTAACAGAATCACATTCTGCCACTTCCAAAAAGAATTGGTTTTTGGTATCACCTGTATTCTCGGAGGACCTTGGCATCTCTGATAATGTCTGAAGGATAAGGAAGAAAGCTGGACTTGTCACCGTCCAGAATGTGACATTTATCATGTATATTTTCAGCAGTAGTCCAGCTAAAGCCATTGATGGAGAGTACTGACTCCACTGGTGTGCCCTTACCAGGGATTGGGACATCTGTTCACATTTTAATGATGCCCATGCTATTGGCCAAGGGATTCATCAGAATTCAAGAGCAGCCAAGTTAGTCATCTGGATTAGCACTGCTGGGTTCTAGTTCATTGTCTGTCATGCAAGCAAAAGATACTCTCTTCCATGTGGGGAGATGATAGACCCTTGCTGGGTCTCTTCCACGTGGGGAGATGATAGACCCTTGCTGGATCTCTTCTGGTCACCATCATTGTAAGCAGCTATGGCTTCCCTCTTATAAAGAAACAGTGCTCGTTTATACCAAGGAAGTCAATAACTGAAGAAATCTAATCGTCAAAAAAGAACAACCACGCCTTTGACCTTCATGTACATGGGTGCAACTGACTGACTATTTAGGAGCAATGTATGAGGTCCAACAGTCTCCAGTGGAAAGGAGGGATGCCTATCAGCTAGCGCTCCCATGAGGCGGGGTTGTGGATGGCTCCCTCTAGCGTTCACCCCAGCAGAGTGCAGCTTACCTTCTGTGCGAGTTCCTGTTGCTATTCACATGCCCTCGCCCTGTGCAGCCCGGAGTGGGACACTTGAGAACATTTTCATGCATGGCAAGAACTTGACAAAGGAGAGGCAAAGAAAATAGCCCAGCATTAAAAGAGAGAACTGATGAGAATACAATATGCAATTGTTTTAACAGGCTAAGTTAGTTTACAAAAGACAGGCCTACAAACGTCTGTGATGTGCATGACCAGGAAATACATGTGGGACGAGAAAGAAGGTTGTATGATTCTACTCAGACATGCAAAGCAGGGTGCACTGGCAAGGAGCCACGGGGGTCAGAGAGCGCCGAAACTGAATAGTCCCACGTGAGACAGAAAAGCAAGGGCCACCCTACTGTATCCCATGGGTAAGCACTGGATGCTGATCAGCCATGTAACAGCACATAGCCTGGGCGTTTTAAAGACATGCCTGTGCTTTGGAAACACATGGGGTTCTCAAAGTCGATATGAGTGAGCAGAACTTTAAACCTTGTATTTTAAGTAAGCCATGTTTGCTTAGGAAATTAGTATCTTTTTGTGCTCTCAGTAGAATGAACAGGAATAGTAATTTTCACAACATGAAAGCAACAATTGGGAAGATGAAAGAGATGGGCCCCAGAGCACGAGGACAGTATCTGTTGGCATACAGGGAGGCTGGTCCTCATTGACAGCTCCATCCTATGTGTCTGCTGAGACTCGTGGGGTCAGGAGTTCTGGAGAAGTCAAGACATCTAACTCCAAAGATGCCTGCTGGCCAAGTGCTCTGCCTCTCTGAGCTGGATGTCTGCAAACCCCAGCAGCCTCTGTGGCAGTCCTCCCTGCCTGCAAAGCCTGACTAGGGTCGGTGGTCATGTGAGGTCTGCTCACCCCTCTCACTAGTCCCCATCGCAGTGTCTTGTTGGCACTGTGTTCAGTTTTTGCATGCCCTTGTTGTACCTGTCCATTTTGGTGTCTTATCACAGTGGGAAAGTCAGCATTTAGCTCATGTCCTGGGGGATAGGGTTTGGGGGGAAAAGGAGATCTTTTTTCTGAGGAGTCCCTGTCTCAGAGGAGAATGTGCCCTCTCTTTGAAGTATGCAGTTTTGCTAGCCTTTCTACTATCCTATTGCACTGCAAGAATGTTACATATTTCTTTTTACCTTACTGTGTGCCATCTTTTTCTTTATGCTAAGTATTTCTATTATAAAGTCTTCCCTGGAGAAAGCAAACACCTTCCAGGCTTGACTCTGTGGCAGAGTTCAAGTTGCTGTTTCTATATCTTGCATAGTGGAGTCCATACCTGTAGTGGCATCTGCTTCTTCAGTCTGCAGGCTGCCTCTAGGGACTCTGCCTCAAACCATTTCTCCACTTTAGTCTGTAGTGCTGCCCCTCACTACTTTCCCTCAGTCTCTCTCTGGAGCGTCTACAGGATCTTTCAAACAGGAGGCCCAGCAATCTCTATAGCCCTTCTTCCAAGGCTCCTGTGAACCTCAGCCATGGACATCGCACCTGGAGCTTTTGAGAAATACTCTTTTACCTGGTTTACAGATCCCCAATTTCTTCCTTTACCTCGCCTTTCCACACAAGCCTATGTTTGGTCTCCTTTCTCTCCTAGTTCATGCTTTTCCCTGGCAACTCATTCTTTTTTGTACTAGTAGTGCACACAGGGTACCACCCAGTACACCTCCTTCAGATACCCTCCCACACTACTGTAAATCTGTCTTGTGGGTGGTGATAGCAACTCTGGCTCAGCTGGGGTCCTATTAGCAGAACTGCCCTCTGCCGACCACTTAGTATGCTACAGCAGAAAAGCTGTCACTGAATTCACTTGGGTGGAAATGGGCAGGGAGGATGGTCCAGAAAAACAAATGATGCTACCCACTGTGAAGTGCTTCATTTATGTATTGTTTACCTTTATAGTCTGTGGTGTTATAAGGAACTACTCATGAGAAAGTAGTTAGGGTTCCTCTGTACCCCCATGCGATGGGTACCCTTTGTGAGAAAGGGTCTCATATTGACCAGGCTGGTGTCAAACTCAACCTTCCAAGTTCTGGGATTACAATCACGCACCATGCCTGGCTTTAGAAATGCTTTTTTGCAGACACCTAGTTCGTAAGACCAGGTCAGACCCGAGTCCTACTTTCTGCCTGCTAAGGCAGGCCCACATGTGGTCAGCCAGAGCAGGCCCATTCAGTTTCCAGCTCAACAGAGCACAATCCATACTTGAACCACATCTAGACATTTCCCATGAAAATACAGAGTCAAGAAGAATTCTCATCCATTGAAAAGGATAAATCTGGAAGGTTAAAAAAAACCTATGCCCTGGAAAAAAAAAATCCCACCAACTTCCTCCTAAAGCATGAGTTCTCAGCCCTGGTGCCTCCTCTTGTACTGAGAATCTGCAACATGCCTGATGCCAGGAAGCAGGTTAGAGCTGAAACAGGAACACCAGGCCCAGGGCTTGCATTGGTGATGGGTTTGAGAGTTGGCGTGGGTTTACAGCTGAGTTCAGGCCCTTTAACACTTGCTCAGATGAACTTTAAAGTACTGAGCACCATCTATTGCCAGCCAGTGTGCTTCCCTTGAAAGAGAAAGAAGATGGAGTCAGAGTCCCATGTTCTTCATCTCGTAAACAGGGCAGTGCTCCCTGGGAGGGTTATGGCATTGAATGGGCCAGTGCTTGCATTTGCCAGCCAAGCACCCACCACAGTGCTCACATGTGGAAGCCGCTGTCATCAACCATGCGTCTCCCTGTCATGTAACACACGGGATTGTAGACACACCTGGATTTGTTTATTTTTACAACTTTTTCATAATTGTTCTCAAGACAGTTACAGGAAACATACACATATCATTTTAGTAGGCATCTGAGAACCTGGAGTCACAAGACCATCTGAACATATTTCAGCAGAGAGTGCTTAGCTTTCCCTGCTTCTAATGTTAAGCTGATACGAGAGCTGCCTGCCCTCTGACTGGTTTGCTTCTCAGGCATTCCAAAGGTGCTCATGGTAACAGCTTGGTCCTCCAAATGCTTTTGACTACTGAGCTGGGCATCTAGCTACACCTCCTAGCTACCTTCCCCACCGGAAGCTGAAGGAGGGCACTGTGTGCTCTAGGTTCATACCAGGCATCTATCACCTTCCTCATTCCTGAAGCTGGAGTCAGTGCTTTGGACAAGTGATCCTCTTTGATTTTACACAGTTGGCATATTTCTTGCCAAGAGAAAGATAAACAAAAAGGACGTATATCATTTTAGATGTAAAAGGAACACTGTTTTGCAGATTCATTTTCATAGCTTCATATCCTTGGAACCTATCTTCTCGAAAGAATATGTAAAAGAAAACCCCACCAGATCCAAACCTATTTATTTGACATCTTTAGCATGCAAATGCCAGGGCGCCTGTACTAGGAAATAGGCCACAGTGAATGCACACACCTGGTGTACATGCCAATTGGATAATATGCAGTAGTTCAGGAATTTGGGCAGGAATCCTGAGGATTTCCTGGGATTTCTAAGACTAGTATTAGCGGGTTAGAGGCTGACTGGTTTAGTTCTGTAATGTGTGAGACCAAGTAGAGAAATTCCCTGCCTAGGATAATGGAATAAGTGGAACTGAGGACCAGAGCCCAGGCTGGCCTGGGAGCCTACTCCGGGGACACAACTGCAGGGTGAGCTATTCTTGGGAGCTGGTTCCCAGAATATCCAGAGGATGTACGGGGAGGCTTCCTGAGGTGCCCTCCAGGCTGAGAAAGGGTCTGGTCAGTGACAGTTTCACTGAGGTGTCATGAAGATGAGGTTGGGGGATGATTGACAGAGCCAGAGTGCTTGCACGCCCCGGGGAGCGGCGAGACACGACTTACTTTCTGGAGGGACCCTATCTTTGTGCGGGCATCCAGACAGACTGCGGTGATGCGGGTAAAGCCCAGTTACGTGGCCGGTTCCATCACACCCGGGGGTTGGACACTTGCTCTCTCTCTTTTCTGTTCTTGAGGGATCTAAAAGCGACAACAGGTGTCAAGAAAATGAATGTTTACCAACTGCAGACTCGTGCGGTTATCCAGCAACCTGAAGAGACCTTTGCTAAGGAGAGAAATTAGGCAGGTGTCAGGGCAGGCTGGAACATCAGGCCTGTGCTTCATAGCTCTAGGTGTGGGTGGTATTTCCAACCTTGTACCGTGTAATCAGGAATCATAAATTATTTTGTTTTTTATCTAAAAGTTTTAACAAAAAACACCGACTTGTAATCTTAACTCTTGATTAATTGGTTTCCCGTGTGTTACATGATAAGCTGTGTTGCTCAAAGAAATCAATGTAAATAAGGATGAGACAGTGACCTTCTTAGAGAACAAAGCTTCACATTGTTTTCGTTCAGCAATTTCTCCATATACTTCAACCAGAGTGAGGTGCTGCTCAGAAACCCTTCACCCGATTCCCTCTTTTACGTGCTCTGGTCTCACATGCCATAAACCGCAGAATTTGCCTGCAGACTTTTCCCTCTGAGGTTAAGCAATACTGTTTCTTAGCATAGCAATTCAGCACTTTTTTTGAAAATCGACTGAACTCTCAGAAGGCACTGTAAGCAAATGACAGAAAGGGTGGCGATCCCACCTGGCAGGGTGATGGGCAATCAAAAAACGCTTCAGAAGCCGCTGGAGCAACCATTTGTTTTGATTTCTTCGTCTGTGCTTGGAACCAGAGGAAGGCTCGTGTAATGCTGTGCATGCACACACAAAGTAGGAGGTCAGGCTGATCTAGAGCGCTGCCAGCTCCTCTGCAGCGCCAGCCAAGAGCCAATCAGAGCAGACGTTTGGTCCAGGATTGAATGCTGGATGCCAGAGATGTAACGATATCCTGATAGAGTTGTGTTTTTTTTTTTTTTTTAAACACCCAGATCAACCACAGTTCACCCTCATGCATCACAACAGTTCTATAAAGTGTTTCTGAAGGCCAGTTCAGGCTGAATTCTAAATCATAGATTGTGACACACCGCGTTGTAGAACACATATTTGAAAATCAGTTGCTCAGGTCACCAATAGTAGCTATTATGGTTGGTTCAGCGAATACTAGAGTTAAGTTTTCACAAGTTTAATTATTTTATATGAATAACTTATTAATTGTGCCAATCATACTAGAAAATAATGCTCTACTTCTGGTTAATATTCATTTATATCAAGAAAAAAATCTTGAGTTTGAATTTTATTTGTTTAGGTTTTTGAGATAGAATGTCACCCTGTAATCCAAATTGGCCTGGAACTCAACTATGTAGCTCAGTTTGACTTTAAACTCAAGGTACTACTCCTGCTTTAGTCTCTTAAATACTGGGATTGTAATCATGAACCGCTACACATGGATTGATTTTGAAGTTTTTGAACTCTACCTGGCCTTATTGTGTCCCTTAAAGCATGGTAGATAAACAACTCCCAGGATCTTCCAAATGCTCTCTGGTTGATGCGAAGGGCATTCCCCTTTCCTTTACTGCAAACATAGCATCTACATAATGTTCCTGTCAGGTGCTAGAACCATCCCAGTCAGCATTGCCAACTGCTGTCCTGTCCCTACGCTTGCCTCATGGCCTCTGCCAACAAACTCAAGAGTAAGTCCTGGCATTTTGTTTCTATAGATACAAAGTAAAGCCTAGCATTTTGTTGCCCTTTGAGTAATTTCATTATACTGAGAAAAGTTAATCCATGTCATTATAAAATAGTAACCACACAGTAACAATCTCAAAGGACAGTAGTGACAATTTAAAATAATTAATTTAAGAGATTTTTAACTAGATAGTAATGACTTTTACAGGATTAAAAAATTACAACTGTTACTATTCCCTTTAATCATAAAGTAACTGCTTCATTAGGACCCTAATATCTGTCACAAATAACATGGTTTCACAGAATTTGAAGCAGTTTTGAAATCAAGTGACCTTTATGCTTTAAAAATGGCCCAGACCTCTCTTGGGGTATGGAGGCTAGAAGAGCATGTGCGTTCTCAATGCGTGGCTGAGACGGGGCCTGCCATTGCCTTCACTATCTCTTTCCCTTGATTCCTTGTCTCTTGCAATCCAAGTTCATCTTCCAAACAACAGGGAACAACAAAACAAACACTAAGCATGGGCTCCCTAACCAGAAACCTTGCAATGACTTAATAGGAAAAAAAAGAAGTGCGCTCACTTCAGCTTATTCCCTTCTGCTCTGGAGGGTGTGTGTGTGTGTGGAAGGCAAAGGAGTTAGCCTTTGAAGTGTTTCTCATTAGTACCGTAATGAAGTCCTTTCAGTTAAGATGTATGGAATGAGAATAGGTATATGTGTTCTCTTATCTTTACAGAAGGAAGAGAGAAGCCACAGCCCAGTGTCTTGATGTGATGGGCAGCTTCAGGCATGTTGGTGAGATATGGTCCCATAACTTGAGTTTTTTTTTTTTTTTTGAGAGGCCTTTAATCTCTTTGCTCCATTTTTTTGGTGTGTGTGTGTGTGTGTGTGCTCATTTGGCTTTGACTCTGAATGCAACTATATAGTCAAGAAAACATGAAAAGTGTTGTTGGAAAATGCTGAGAATTTTGGTCATATGTAAAGTTGGAAACCGAGAGAAGTGGTGACCAGTGCCTTCTACTTCATAAGAAAATTCAGGCTCCCAACCTTAGCATTCACTTCCCCTTCCTCATGTAGGGGAAGAAGCAGTCAGGGAAAATTCCACGTTTTTGCATAAAAGAAACATAATAACAAACCAGAAAGAGATGTGTGTTTGGTGGATTACACAAAACAAAGAAGCCATGGTGATGCAGAGACTCTCATGTGTAATTTGCCTCCACACATGGTCACTCACTGTACTTCTCAAGACCACAGTTCATCCTGGGACTACTACTCAGAATTCTAAAGCATGAGCCTAAAATATATCTGGACAACAGCAGTCATGTGGGAAGGCATGAATTTTCTAAAATTGTTTGATTTTTATCATTCTCAATATCCAACTAAATATCTCTGAATTGGGGCCAGATGGTGGTGGTGCACACCTTTAATCCCAGCACTTGGGAAGCAGAGGCAAGTACATCTCTGTGAGTTCATGGCCAGGCTGGTCTATAAGAGCTAAAGAGCTAGTTCTAGGACAGCTGGGGCTGTTGCACAGAGAAACTGTGTCTAGAAAAACCAAAAAAATAAAAAAAATAAGCAAAAACCTCTTAATTGTTATCAGTTTATCACATATTATTCAAATGGTAGCTCCATCGTTTAAACACATGTGCCATGTTCCATAGTGTTTTAAGGAAAGCCCGAAGCTCAATGGCACCAGAATAATCTATTTCCTCTAGAAAGGAATGCCTTCTTGTATACACTCCTCTGGTGGTCTGTGCTTGCCTTTGTAACTGAATGGAAAGCCCATATCCATCCAGACACTAGTCAACCAGTAGTTCCCAGAGCTCTGGCTAAAGCTTCTGTCAGCTTGGACTTGGTCATAGCCATGCCCAACTGTCCATGGAGCTATGAGCACACACCTGTGCCACGATAGGGAAGATAGAGTTTTTCTGATTGTTCAGCAACTGATTTTCAAACTGAATTCCTGAATCTCATGATCAGATTCATAGTGAGGAAACTGTATATTCATAATGTACAGAACAAAATGAAAAGCAGAAAAAGGAACATTTTGGTGATAATACAGAAAGGATTTAAGGAACTAGCAATTTCATTTTTGAGATAGTTTCTTTCATAGTTCTGAGTCTTGTGAGGACTCAACCATACTGAAGTGTTTTACTCTGTGAAGCTGAGTTAAGACTTGCTCCAACTGCAGATAGATACAGATGCTGCCATGGACACAAAGTCGCCCCATCAGGTAAGCTAAGTTACGTATGTAGGCAAATATGTGTTCCCTGATCTCATAAGATAAAATTCAGTTAAACAATCATGGGATAGTTTTGAGAATTTTTTTTAAAAAACAATACACAGTGTTTGAAAACAAAGAGGTATGACTGTTTCCACAAGTTAATGGGACTAGTAAGGGAAATAAGCATTCTGGGGAAATTGCTGTTGGTTTCAGCCATGACCGCTCCCTGCCTTGCATGGCAACTAGTTTCCTGAGCGAACTGTCATAGAGAATTCACGTGCAGCCACTGTGCTCATCCTAGGTCATTGGTCATCATGTTGCTGTTCAGTTCCTTCTGGGCATTTCCTGTGGGGCCAGTTCCATCAATATCTGTCACTAAGTGATCATTTTATAAGTCATGAAGCCATCTACTCAATCCAGTTTATGAATACAGTGCCTCATCTCTGATTGACAGATGGTTGCTTAAACCCTAGCCCTATTCAGCATAGATCATGGTTCCTCTGTAACAGCATAGCTTGGCCCTAATGGTCTCTCTCCTAGGGGTTTCTGTCGCACTAGCCCTGTCTTCTCCAGGAATGCCCTTTCCCACTGTCATCTGCTCCAACGACAGTGCACTTAATTGATTTATGTATTTCTCAGACAAATATTTTATTTTTTCTATAGACAAAGGATCACAGATATAGTTCTAGAAAATACTATAAAATGTGCATTAGACATAAAATAGGTAGTGATTTATAGTGCAACAGACTATCATCAGCATTTCTCACTTAGCTCACATTTGCCTGAAGCGACTTACGGTAGGTAGAAATATTACCTTTACCATAGTATGGCTTTTTGACATGGCTGTCACTGGATTTGGATTTTCTGTCTTCACCAGCCAGCTGTCTTGGAGACTGGTCTTCATAGGATCTCAGGTTATCCCTTCTCCCAGCGTCCATGGCCATCTTCTCCCTCATGGCCTTGGCTCTCTCTGTTTCCAAGGCAATGGCTTTCTCTAGCAGAGTCAGGTTGCCCTTGGTCATGTCAAATACCTCCTCAGACCTGTCTGAGTTCACTGAGGTGGTGTCATCATCCCTCTCATGACACCCATCCTCCTTGGCACAGCTGGAGAACGTTCTAGACCTGGGGCTTAGCTGCTCCTCCAGCCGCATAAGGTTCATCATATCTGAGTAGCTCCTGTCTGGTGTCCTCCCAGAGAAGTCGTCCTCTTGCCGGACATGTTGGCGCACACTCATGTTGGGTGGCTGACTCCTGTCCTGTGGGTTGGTCTCGCTGAGTTTCCTGGCTAGGTCAAAGCACTGGTTCCTCAGACACTCCAGACTACTTAGACACACCTCCTCATCGCTCTCCTCCACCATCTTCTCCATGAGCCCATTGTTCATGGGCTTCCCTAGCATGACATAGTTCATATTTCTACTGTCTTGTTGGGACATTCCTTCGGCATAACTTCTGTCACCGATGTTCTCTGATAGCACAACACCATGTCCTTGTGCTAGCAGCTTAAGGGAGTCCACTGTTTCTCTGACGACATCACTGTCTAAATCTAGGCTCAGTTCGCTTTTCCGACCGAGGTTTTCATTTTTGTCACTATCATCCTCCAAGCTATTGGAGGTGTTGCTGTTCATCTCTGACTCAGTCCTGGCTCGGTATGCTGCATCCTCAGCAATTTTGCCAAGATTTAATAGTGACTTGGCCACCAGTTCATCGTAGTTATCATACTCATCATTGTTGTTATCATCCTTTTCTGTGTCCTGCATTATTCGAGTACAACTCATTTGATGTTCTTCTGCAAAGAATAGAGAAGACAAAAAGGAAAAGAGAAACAAGGCTAGACTCTGAAGATTATTGCTACAGCATAGACAGCAAGCTCACAGCAGGTCTAATCATGCTTGCCCTAGGAGGGATCCTTACAAGACATCTGCTGCTGGGCAGAAAATATAAACATAAAGCAACTGAATCATGATAAAGACCAGGAGGCCACTTAAGATAGTCCCAGAGTGCTATAAACTCCTTCAGTTAATCTTAAAGTTAGCCACTACATGCAATAAATATAATGTAAAACTAAACATTTTTGATTGTTAACATTCTTCTCTACCATCTTCATTGGCTGTATTCACAGCCAACAGTTGGCTACCAATTACATTTCTCAAAACACCAAGCTTTTTAAAAGTTCGTGAGCTTTCCTACTCGCTTACACTTAGTGGTTCTCTGTAACCTTTAAGTGGTTTGTTCCCCACCATATTCGGTGACATAGAGCACAGCCTCTGACTTCTGAAGTCACACAGATGGACACCCTGTTAGGAAGTGGTCATGAGAACACTGAATTCTAGCCAATGTGTTGAGACCCACAGTGAAGTGGTAGGAACTCCACATGAATTTGAGGGAGGAAGATGACAGAGGCTTCCTATATGGACAAGTTAGGCATGCACAGTGACCACATGTCACTGGATCAGATGGCCCTGGTCAACTGTGACTCTCACAATCTATCCTTTCATTTGACCTATGGTGATAATATATTTACCCATCTCATCAGCTTGAAGAAACTTGAATAAGATGTACTCAACCTCAAATATACTTAGAGAAAATCTTTTCTAAAGTTCATGTTAAGCATGACGTAAACCCCTCTATTTCATCAGAAAGCAATTTCCCTTTCACTTAGAGAGCTGTTTGGATTTGAGTCTCTATTCACAAGTCTACACAACTGCTGTCATCTGCATTGCGAGACATAGATAATAATAAATGAGTTTTCAAATGTGTCCCCCTTTGGTTGGATGGTTAATAGATGCCATTTCACATCTGTCCTGTGTTTTCATGATTCAAATGCCAGGGAACTTTCAGACTTTGATAATGACTTGGAGGAATGAGGCATATCGACTAGCTGCAAACACCAGCTGACCAAAGCTGAGCTACTGAACCTCTGCTGCTTTCGTTATGGATTTTATGCAGAAAAGGTTCATGTTAGCAAAAAGAGATTTGGAGCTCAATATAGCAATAACTGAAAATAACATCCCACCTGGAGTCAACAGATACTTAGGCTCTGACCCACTCTCTAAACATCAGCGTGTGTTAGTTAGAGGACAGCAGTTGCTGCATGAACTAGATTCCGTCTCTCTCTGGACTCAGACCTCTTCATTTCTCCGCACTCTGTCTGAGCCATTTCCCTTATTAGAAGTATAAAACTGTCATCAAAGAGCAGCGAAAAGAAAGAACCTAGAACTAGCAAATATAACCACAAATGTGGCAAAGCTAATCACAGATGCACACCTTGCTGCTGGCTGGCAGTGCAGCTCTGGAGAGCTAAGTACATCTTGTCCTCATGACTCTGGCAATGTGATTTTTATATTTCCCTTCTGATTTATACACTTTGTTATGTTCATGGGCTATAACTAGATCATCCTTGGGAATGAAAAAGCTATTCTACCCATACACAGCAATTGTGATAGTTTGGGTAATTGTCACAATTACCTATAGAGTATCAACCAGATGAATTTGTAAGCCACGGTTTGGAAGTGGAAAATATGTGCCATAAGTTGAAACACTAAAAACATAAAAGTTATACTTTGTGTGTGTGTGTGTTTGGCTACATTTTGATACATGTGCCACAGTGTATGTGTGAAGGTTGAAGACAGTGTGAGGAATTCCTTTCCTTCACCCACATGGAAATTCAGCTGGTAAAGTGCTTACCATGCAAATACAAGAATCTGAATTTGATTCCCAGCCCCACATAAAAGCCCAGTATGGTGGCATGTGCCTGTAATCCCAGCACCTGAGGAGATGGAGACAGGAGGATCCCTGGGGCTTGCTGGTCAGCCAGCCTTCCCTAATCAGTGACCCTCAAATTCAACGACAGACCATGTCTTAAAAAAATATGATGGAAAGTCGTAGAGGAAGATACCTTATGTTGTCCTCTGGTTGCCATATGTTCATGCAATGTTCATGTATACCTGCACATATATGTACACCCACACAGACAGACAGACAGACACACACACACAAAAGAAGGGAGTCACTGAATGTAATAACCAGGGCAAAAAAAATCTTGCCTAATCCCTGTTTCTGTATCTAAACTCCAAAATGAAGTCTGCTCTGGAAAAGTCAGGGCTCTCACGAGTCGTTCCTAGCAAATGTGCCAGATGTAATGTTGTCGAGTCTCCATTTACACATCTCAGGATGTCCTCAGTTGTCTGTTGTTTGTTTTTCCTGTCCTGCTTTCCACATGACATGGCTAAGGAGTGCCTCTTATGACCAGTCTGTCACCTTTTCCCAAAGAGATGAAAAAAGACAGTATCCCAGCCTTGCAGACCCATGAAACTGAGGAACTGAAGACAGGTTAGTTGCTTCCCTGCCTGAGTACCAGAAAAGGATGTGGCAGGCCTGCTCCTCACAGGGATGTGTGCTGGGGGAACACTGTGGATGCTCTGGCGGGCTTGAGAGGCAGAGTTGAAATAGGAAGTTATGCAACTGGCCCCATCACTCTCTTGCCACTTAGTGATTGTGTGAGGGCAGTGACCTTTCAAGAGCTGTAACGAGCTCATCTGTAAGGCAGGGATAATTATCTGCCTGGCCGCTCCTGGCAAGTTCCTACAAGCCCCAGGGTGAGGCACACAGACTATGTGTATTTCGAATGCCTGGCATGGGTGGTATTGTTTTCCGGCACCTTCTCTCGCCTCTTCAGGGCTGGCTCTGGACACAGGCAGTAGGGAGTGCACTTGGAGACAAAGCCTGCTGTGGTAGCTTTTCCCTTTTCTTAAGTTACTAATGCTCGGTGTCATCAGAGGCCTCATGAGTGAGAGCAGCGGATGTGGAAATGGTTGGAAGATGATATTGAAGCCAAAATCTTTCCAGGTTAATAGAATTCCAGTGTTTAAGGCATCACCTAAAGTAAACTCCTAATTACACGGGCTAATGGAGGGCAACAGGCTCCACGTCATCAGCAAACAGGTTCTGAACACATGATCTGTCTCAGCCTTGCCTGTCATGGTGAGCATTTAGAATTCAGTGTCTGGTTTTCCATATTTAGACAATTTACTACCTAGTTGTGTTTCTGCTGAGACTAGCATCGAAAAGACCCCATTATAGCTATGGGCTTTGGCAAATGGTCTAGAATTTTCTATACCAGTCAGGGACTAGAAATGTGGTACAAACATTCTGGCTCATAAAACTTTCAGAAGTCAATATTACTTGTTTCTATCTAGTGATTAATGTTCTCTCAAAGAAGAGGGATGTATTTGTGATGAACAAAGCATTTTCCAGAAAATAAATGCACATGTTTCTGTCCTAAGTAGACAGTAGGAACATGAATACCATGCGTGTGGAGAGGATGTAATGCTGCATTCCCTCTATATACTGTGCTTAGAATTTGTCACTGCACAGAGCCCGCAGAGCGAGGCCGAGACCAGGCACTGCCTCTCGACCTGTCCAGCCCCAGGTATTCATGCTGAATCATGTGAGACTGGAAATCAGAGGAGTTTGGGTTAATCCACTCCTAACTGATGGAGATGAGCCTACCGGTAGAGGTGCTTTTGTGGCTGAGTCCAGGAGCTCTGCCCATGTGATCACCAGCTGGCTACCAGCTTCACTGCTAACTGCTGTGATGTGTGATTTTGAGCCCTGTAAAGGCTTTATAAATGTTGTGGCTGCAACTCCCCTCTTCTAAGTCTGACCATTAGCAAGATTTTAGACCACACAGAATCACTTAGTTGGGAGGTTTTCCTAGAATTACTGGAGCCTCATACACTGGTTTTGTGGTAATTTGTCTCTAAAACACATGTCTAAGATACAACTTTTTCAATATTTGGTACTGATAAAGCCACATGAATACACACTATACACACCCACATCACATCTTATGGACAGTAAAGAACAGGGTGTGTGTGTGTCTAGCCAATGGAATTCAGAAGAACCCCAAGCCCAGTCTTATGAAGGTAGAGGTCTGTTTGTCCTTCCTGATCCTCGTAGAGACCCCAGGAAAGGCTCTTCAGTGGCTACCACTTCTGAAAGGCAACCACAGAAGACTGCAAGACACACATGTTCAAGTGACAGAGCTGAGAGACCATGCTGGGATGCTGTGCATGGTTGCTTTACCAGTCTTCTGTGCTGCCTGTTTCCATAGCAACCAGACTGCAGTCTTCTTGAAAGAGGAACCCAGTGGGCTTGGTGCAGACTAGCAGCTAGACACCCATCTCCTTCTCGGCAGATGAGGCAGGTCTCTGCTGTATGCCCCCACCCCGGGTGACTGCTGCTATTCTCAGCATCTGCCTTCTGGCATTCTCCCCCTTTGACACTCCTCCCTAGCCTCTCAGGGATTGAGGACCTATTTCAATGACCAGCCTTTGAGATTTGTGCTGGGCTTACTAGCTCAGCTAGCCTGCCACCGGCCAGTGTCTTAACTAACACAGTTTAGGTCCATTCTGGTTTGGAAAGGTGTATTTTTTTTCGTTGCTGTGACCATATACTTGATGGAACCACAGTAAGGGATTTGTTTTAGCTCATAATTAAGAGGATGCAGTCTTTTATGCAAGAGGTTGGCAGAGTCCATAGCAGTGAACGTGGTGCTGCACAAACGAGGAAGCAGAGGGCAGAGAATGCTGGTGTTCACCTGGCTTTTTGTTTGCTTTGCCCTTCCTATGCATTCATTTAGTCCAGGACCCTAGCCTCTGAGCTGTCCCCAGCCCCACATTTAGAATAGGTCTTCTCTCCTTTTTTAAAGAACTCTGAAAACTCAAAGATAGACCCAGAGTCTGTCTCCTAGAAAATCCTCAAATGAAAATGGAGAGTCATCATCCC